GGACATCTGCTTCAAGAGGCCGTTCTTCCCCTCCCCCACAGCAAGATAATTATTGTCCCTTCCCATTCTAGTATTCTCTACCAAACAGCACAACATGTCCCACACAACATGTCCCACACAACATGTCCCACACAACATGTCCCACACAACATGTCCCACACAACATGTCCCACACAACATGTCTGCACTGGTTTGTTTTTGATCCAGTTCGTTTTTTTTTTTTTTTGACATTTAAACAAACAGTCTGTTTTGTGTGTGTGTGTGTGTGTGTGTGTGTGTGTGTGTGTGTGTGTGTGTGTGTGTGTGTGTGTGTGTAAAATAGTATGATAGAAGAAGCGGTGGAGTACAGACGGCACCAGCTTGATGACGACTGTGAAGATGATAATGATGATCGTGACGGTGAAGATAATGATGATGATGATGATGACGATGATTACGATGACGAAGATGATCATGACGAAGATGACGATGATGATGATAATGATGATGATAATGAATACTGCAAAGTTGTGTAACCAAAACACAAACGATTTCCACAATGTAGTTGTGTTATCTCCCTTAAAAGAAGAACACTCTGGCGTCTGGTGTGTTGAGACAAGATTGGATGTGCCACCGACAGGCAAGACTGTGAACTTGTCCTATTCATCTTTCGTGAAGCCAATTCTACTCCACGTTAGAGACAAAAATATCAATGCCGAACAGCCTTTGAAACCGTAAAGAAAAGTTGACCGAGAAATAAATGTACGGACATTAGGCAGAAATCATGGAAGTTGATGTAAGTAATTTAGATTAGAGAAGGTTCCACACGCTCATCCACTGCCAGCACTGGACAACAGTCTGCTTCATAGTTGCAGTATAAATGTTCGTGTCCATCAGTTCCTTTATTTCCTATTTCCAATTTCATCTCTTCTTTCCTCTTGGCGTTCACCGGCTGTAATCTCCAGCAAAATGTTCTAACATCCGATTTACGATCTAGCTTCTTTGCATGCAGAATTCTGATTCATTGCTTCTCAAGCTGATACACTCTGACTTGGAAGAATCTGTTTCATGTTTATCTGGCTTGTTTCAGCTCTGTTGTCTTTTCACTTGAGTTTTATAGTCAGGTTTGTGTTACAATTTGTACTCCGCACGATAAAGACTTTGGTCCAAACTTTCAGTTGTGTGTGTCTGTGCAAGTACGTTCAATCCTCTCTGATGAGCTTAATCATAATAGTTTGTGTTGTTTCTAGTGGGACTCCATACCTGTAGGTTGTCGTATCATTCTGTGGTTAAATGGGATGTTTGAGATTTCTTCCTTTAAATTTCTGAGTTTCAGTTCTTCAAGATGTGGTCCTCAAACGGGGAAGACAGACAAGACAAATTGAGTTTAGAGGACATACACATCATCGAATCATCATTATGATCATCTTCCGCACCATCAACTGCCTTGCTGATTGATGTGTCAGATAATGCCTCTCAGAAACTGGCAAATCTCTGTATCAGTTGACGTGCTGACACCTCTTCATGACATGACAAAAGGCTCGCAATTATTTAAAGAGGATATGCACTATACGGTTGGAAAGCCGGAGTGACCAAACCTGGATTTGAACCTGTCTCTTTCAGATCCAGGGTGCAACATGCTTGTATGTTTGTTATTCAGCTTACACTTCGCTAACTTACTCTTGTGAAACTGCAGGTGCTATTTCAATGGCTCGTTGGATGATACACATGGCTAATGGATGATACACCTGGCTAATAGATGATACACCTAGATAAAGGATGATACACCTGACTAATGGATTATACCCCTGGCTAATAGATAATAGACCTGGCTAATGGATGATACACCTGACTAATGGACGAGATACATGGCTAATGAATGAAACACCTCGCTAATGGATGATACACCAGGCTAATGGATGATAAATCTGGTTAATGGATGATACACCTGGCTAATCATTGATACCCCTAGCTATTGGATGATAAATCTGGTTAATGGATGATACACCTGGCTAATCATTGATACCCCTAGCTATTGGATGATAAATCTGGTTAATGGATGATACACCTGGCTAATCATTGATACCCCTAGCTATTGGATGATAAATCTGGTTAATGGATGATACACCTGGCTAATCATTGATACCCCTGGCTATTGGATGATAAATCTGGTTAATGGATGATTGTTGTTGTTGTTGTTATCGATCCAGCAGCGCATGAGCTTTCGCCCTTTGGCTCAATGCCAAGTAGTGGAATTTGCATGTTTTCACAAGCTGTTCTTTTCCTCCGTACAAGATGTTCCACTTGTCTGGTCTCGGAGGGAGTAGCATTCTTCTAGTCTCACTTTGGGCACTCAAAGAGATGGTGTTCAACAGTTTCGCAGGGGTAGTTACAAAGCTGGCACTCTGGGAAGTGTTGTGGTTGTATTCTGTTTAGGTGTCCACTAAGTGCAGTATGTTTTGGTCTGAGTCTGAAGATGGTGGCCTGGTCCCTTCTTGTTAGATGTTTAATACTCTCATTAGGATCAGGGCTAGCCACATGTCTACTGGGACTGAGCCTCGAGAGGCAGGGGGTAAGAAGTGTTGGTGTTGTGGGTAGTAGGTTTTTCCCCCTTTGCTTCACACGAGGTCTAGTGAATTTCTGTTCATGAAAGAAGCTTCCATTGTGGTGTCAGTCTCTTGACCTAGCATAACCTCTCTTACCCCAAGACCATTGTGCATGGCGAAGAGTCACAGCCTCCCCGAGGTAGTCCTGGTAACTAGGGGTGCAAATCCCCAGGCAAAACACAATGATTCTAGAGTAGCAAACCTCGTTAATAAACCCGGTGCACCACACCGTACTGCCCCCTGTGGGAGGGAATGAGCCAGAGATGTGCTGAACAGTCTTAGGAGTAGAAACAAGTATGCAACCACCCCCCCCCCCCCTTTTTTCTAAAGACCGGAAACTATCGTGAAGGCACAGGGACTCAGGACGTAACGATCCAGTTGCCCCAACTACTCATGCTTAGGCCATGCTTAGAGCCATGAAGAGCTCAGCAAAACCAGCAGGCAATCTGGTGGTGGGGAATGAGCACACTGTGAGCCCCACCTTAGCTACGTGTTAAAGGGGAAGGCAGAAACACAACCCATATTTCCTTTACAACTGGTACAGGGCACTTCTGGCTGCTGCACGGGGAGGTAGGTAATCCTCAAACACCCCAGCAACACAATGCCATGAATATGGCTAATGGATGATAGACCTGGCTAAAAGAGATAGCTGACCGGCAAATCTGACATACCATATTGTGCCAACCAGAAGCATGGCGTTGATATTCTCCAGAACAGTGGAGGCCAAATCAAAACAACACTATAATGAAAAGGATTGTCAAACTGGCATCATTTATTGAATCATCAACTTTCATGGAATACTTCTGATAAAAAGGAACAAAATACAATATCTGCATGCATAGAAAGTGAAACACCAATGCACTCTAAACACCTTCAAGGTTCTCAGTCTCCACCAGAAACATCCACAACAATCATTCTACAATCACTTGTGTGTGGTTAAATCAGAAGCATTAACTACAATCATTCTATAATCATTTGTGTGTAGTTAGATCAGAAACATCCATAACAATCATTCTAAAATCACTTGTGTGTAGTTAAATCAGAAGCATTAACTACAATCATTCTATAATCATTTGTGTGTAGTTAGATCAGAAACATCCACAACAATCATTCTAAAATCACTTGTGTGTGGTTAAATCAGAAGCATTAACTACAATCATTCTATAATCACTTGTGTGTAATTAAATCAGAAACATCCACAACAATCATTCTAGAATCACCCATGTTTAGTTAAATCAGAAACATCGACAACAATCATTCTACAATCACTTGTGTCTAGTTACATCAGAAACATCCACAACAATCATTCTACAATCACTTGTGTGTGGTTAAATCAGAAACATCCACAACAATCATTCTACAATCACCCATGTGTAATTAAATCAGAAGCATTAACTACAATCATTCTACAATCACTTGTGTGTAGTTAAATCAGAAACATCCACAACAATCATTTGTGTGTATTTAAATCAAAAATATCTACAATAATTAAATTGGTGTTCTTATGAACTCATTTGGACGCTACAGGTTTGAATAACAGACTGTATGAAGCTCTCTGTGTGTATTTTTTTTTTTTTTTTTGGTCACTACATATTCATATTCTACATTCAATTGTCCCTTCCAGAAATTCATTGTTCTTATTTACAGATTTCTAGTTTTCATGAACATGTTCGTATTTTCCTCCCATAAAATTAATGATAAAGAACTGGCATCACTCCCCTCGGGACATCCTGTCCACATCTGCTGTGTCCCCTACTGCAGCAGCCAATGAAGAGATTCCATCCTTACAGTGCCCATAGCAACCTAATATAAAGAATTCCTGTCTTTTCTTATGCATGCTGAAGGTTGTCCACACCCTCTGCTACCTCTTCACTGTATCAGTCTCACAAAATATAGTTATTCTCCCTGTTCTGCTGCATTATTATCCACATAATATCAGTGCAACTTAGCCATATCAGCCTTATCACAAAGCAGCTCACAACCTACAGAAGCAGCAGAAGCCAAACTATCAGCCTATTCATTGCACCATACATATGCATTTCCCAGGCAGACGATCTCTGGTTTGTTCCTCACCTGTCCAGCAAGCCACGCCAAACTGAGCATACCAGTGTCTGTGTTCTGAGGAGGGCTTTATGAATCTATTATAAATACACCATTTTGGACCAGAATCCTTCACTTTAGCACTTGCAATGGCAACCTGTGGTATCAATGAGAAATTAATCCACAATAAGTTGTTCTGGAGAAAAGTGTTGTTTGTGTCTTATTCATGAAACAGGTTCCTGACAAATACTAAACAAATAAACAGCATCTTGTCTCAGAACTGGTGACCATGTCAAACACTTTGTTGGATTGTCAAAAATTGTGGCAGTACAAAGATGGGCACATGACAAAGAGACACCTGGGGCTGGAGAGGACATGAGGCAGGAGAGCTGGCAAGAACTGAGTTCCTATCAGGGAGATGGCCATGGGAGCGAAGGGAGATGGCCATGGGAGCGAAGGGAGATGGCCATGGGAGCGAAGGGAGATGGCCATGGGAGCGAAGGGAGATGGCCATGGGAGCGAAGGGAGATGGCCATGGGAGCGAAGGGAGATGGCCATGGGAGCGAAGGGAGATGGCCATGGGAGCAAAGGGAGATGGCAATGGGAGCGAAGGGAGATGGCCATGGGAGCGAAGGGAGATGGCCATGGGAGCGAAGGGAGATGGCCATGGGAGTGAAGGGAGATGGCCATGGGAGCGAAGGGAGATGGCCATGGCAGCAAAGGGAGATAGCCATGGGAGCGAAGGGAGATGGCCATGGCAGCAAAGGGAGATGGCCATGGGAGCGAAGGGAGATGGCCATGGCAGCAAAGGGAGATGGCCATGGGAGCGAAGGGAGATGGCCATGGGAGCGAAGGGAGATGGCCATGGGAGCGAAGGGAGATGGCCATGGGAGCGAAGGGAGATGGCCATGGGAGCGAAGGGAGATGGCCATGGGAGCAAAGGGAGATGGCCATGGGAGCGAAGGGAGATGGCCATGGGAGCGAAGGGACATGGCCATGGCAGCAAAGGGAGATGGCCATGGGAGCGAAGGGAGATGGCCATGGCAGCAAAGGGAGATGGCCATGGGAGCGAAGGGAGATGGCCATGGGAGCGAAGGGAGATGGCCATGGGAGCGAAGGGAGATGGCCATGGGAGCGAAGGGAGATGGCCATGGGAGCGAAGGGAGATGGCCATGGGAGCGAAGGGAGATGGCCATGGAAGCGAAGGCCATGGGAGTGAAGGGAGATGGTGATAGGAGTGAAGGGAGATGGCGATGGGAGCGAAGGGAGATGGCCATGGCAGCAAAGGGAGATGGCCATGGGAGCGAAGGGAGATGGCCATGGCAGCAAAGGGAGATGGCCATGGGAGTGAAGGGAGATGGCAATGGCAGCAAAGGGAGATGGCCATGGGAGCAAAGGGAGATGGCCATGGGAGCAAAGGGAGATGGCCATGGCAGCAAAGGGAGATGGCCATGGGAGCGAAGGGAGATGGCCATGGGAGCGAAGGGAGATGGCCATGGGAGCGAAGGGAGATGGCCATGGGAGCGAAGGGAGATGGCGATGGGAGCGACATTATAGTGGGTCTATTTTATAGAATATGAAGTTTCAGCACTGGGCATTATAATAACATTGGTATAGAGAATTGTTGACTTTGTAAAGTGATGAACTAAACACAGCCAACATTCAGAAGACACAGAATGATTCTGACAACAACGTGACTAGATAATAAACTCAAACAGATTTAGACAGAGAACACAGACTCCAGGGCTTGGGGGAAGGGATGAGACAAACTGTGCCACTAACAAGCATGTTATCAAAGGCAAATGATAAAGTGATGTTTCCTTTTAAAGCCAGATGTGTGAAGCAGATGATAAAGTGATGTTTCCTTTTAAAGCCAGATGTGTGAAGCAGATGATAAAGTGATGTTTCCTTTTAAAGCCAGATGTGTGAAGCAGATGATAAAGTGATGTTTCCTTTTAAAGCCAGATGTGTGAAGCAGATGATAAAGAGATGTTTCCTTTTAAAGCCAGATGTGTGAAGCAGATGTGCATGCAAAACTCCAGTTCTGGAACAAGACCAAAGTTCAGAAGTGGATGAACAACCAGAAATTTCTGCTAGAGTTTACAGCTGGTGAACACTAATAAGAAGAAGAAGTGTAACTTCTTCAGAGCTAAACATTTGAAAACTTTCAGTGAGAATGTCTTTGAACAGAAAAAGTTACTGTAACAACTGCCCAGACAGAAAGAATTAAGCTTCACCGCCTCCTCACCTCCATCTAATGCATTAGCCACACCCTCATGAATTCTTCACATATAAACACATACACACACTCATCTCTTTCTAGGCATTTCATCTATAACACATTTCAACAACATTTCCTCAAGTCTATCTTTAAAAACATGTCAACAACTCCAACACATCTTCTCTGTTTTGAATCATCTACATATCTGACACACCCCTTCCCAAACCTCAGTCTACTCCAAGCAGGCGGTGGATCATCAAGTCTAAGAACCAATCATGTAGTTGATAATTTCACTGCCACATTCACAAGTTGAAGCAAAATAAACAATATGGGTTTAATGTCGTTTACAGCTAGGGAAGGCTTGCCAGGTCACGTTTGGGGGGCAGGCCTGCAGGTTTGGCTTTCGGCTTTCCCAGGCCTTCAAACTGTAGAATGCTGTTGGCAAAACAGAAGACAAAATGTTAGTTACATATGGAACTGTCTAGATAACAATTTCTGATGACACGAAAGAAGAGGGACAATGGAACATGTTGTGACCTCTGGAAAGATCTGTGGAAAGATTGACAGAGCAAGACAGTGTGAGAAGATTCTTGACAGTCTTGTTGCATGATATGAAGGGCTGTCGATACACAAACTGATACACGCAGTTGCAGATTGCAGATTGTGGAGAGGCATGATCACCTACACCAGTCAGTAAGGCACTTGATGATGATGAGGACATGGAGACACCCAGCACAACAATACCTATCCATACAACAATCAGTATTTTGTTTCGTCAGCTTCTCCTTGACTTCTTCTTTTTTATTTTGTTGTTTCCTATTCAGTTTGTAAACTCTGACACAAAGTCCTGGTTGTTCACTTCCTGATCTGAATTTTGGGTGCACATCCATTTGACAGATGTGACATATTTGTGTGCCTGCCAGGCAGTTTCAAAAGAAACTGTAAACACATTGACATCTGTCAGGCTGCCAGTTAGGAACTTTTTTCGAGGATAACTGTGGAGAGGTGAAGGTAAGTGTTCACCGGTTATGAACCGCTACCTATGGTTCAGCACCGTGGCTAACCAAATAGTCAATGGCCAGAATTTCCTGTAGAAAAAAAATCATCCTTCTCATCATCATCATCATCAAGCTTTCTACTTTTTAAAACTGACATTTGTAACCAGAAGCTGTGGTCCCAATATTCATAAAAGTACCTTGATATCACTGATTCAGGTTTTGTAGAAACAAATCATAACTTTTTCATTTAATACTGACACAATAATATTAACTACTTAATGTGTTGTAGGAATTAAAAATGTAATAAAAATACCCTTGAGGTTGCCAGATTTAATTAGTATACACTGACTGAAATGTAAATGCAAGAAGACACTTTATGTGATGTTTGAGACCTGTAGGGAATGGTCAGTAACACATCATGTGTTTGTTGCTACTGAAGTAGCTCAAACTTTCTTCAATCCTTGCTTTTGTCAGATTTGTTTACTTTGCTTCCTTCTGCTTCCATAGTTACTACAGGTGTCTGCTTCTAAAAGAGAGCTGAGAAAAGCCATTCTGTTCTCAAGATGCCATGAAAGGAACACCCCAACTACACCTCCATGCTGTTGAGGTAGGTAAACATACACTGTTGTCTGGTCAACACAGTTATGGGGACTAAGTATCGACCAGGATAAATACACACCCCTGGGGTGCTCTCAGCTATTAGCAGGAGTATCACAGAGTAGGGCAGCCACTTGAGCAGGTAATCTATAAGACTGCCAAAGGCTGAGGGTCTAGTCTTATGTCATGTGGATGTGGAAAGCAGGGGAAACTTCTACATTATTATTCTAAGACACTTATCATGGAAGCCAAACAGCCATCAAGAAAGAAAATAGGGCCCTTTGAACTGAACCGCTATAGAAAGATTCTCAGACTTGTATGGGGCAAGAAAAAAAGAAGTCTGACATCCGAAAAGATCTTGACATCCGAAAAGATCTTGACATCCGAAAAGATCTTGACATCCGAAAAGATCTTGACATCCAAAAAGATCTTGACATCCTAAAAGATCTTGACATCCAAAAAGATCTTGACATCCAAAAAGATCTTGACATCGAAGAGGATTAACTAGTAAACAGCATCTTGTCTCGGAAACTGAAGTTTTCTGGCCACATCAAGTGTCACAGCAGATATGACAGAATAACAGCAGAAGGCATGGTACCAGGCACTGAGAAATTGGGGAAAGCAGGTATCACAAGTTTTTTCAGTCTGAGAAGGCTCAGGTGGCTGGGACACATTTGGAAAATGGAGAATGATAGAATCCTAAGGAATCCTTTGTGGTTTATTATAGATGGGTGGAATATGTTGAGGCAGATCTCTGCTATTATTTAAAGATGTTTGCAAGTTGGACATGAATGGTACAAGTATGGAGGTAGCGTGTTGCATAGAGGGGAAAAATCAGGAAGGGAATTGAAACAAAGGAGCCGCATGTGGGCTCCAAGACCCCATTGGGGGGAAAAAACAATAGACCCACTGCCTCCCCAACAAGCATGTCCTAGGAGTCAGCCAACTGGGGACTTCCTTCGAAGCAGGAGTGCATCTGCCCGAGCATCAAGGAATAACCAGCTGCACACAAACAAGCCATTAACATGGATGTTCACGCTAAACTCAGGACCTAGCACAAAGCCATTAACATGGATGTACACGCTAAACTCAGGACCTGCCACACAGCCAAAGTCCTAATGGATGAGCAACCAGGACTTTCCACCAGAGCTTACAGCCTGTCAACGAAGAAGAAAAAGAAGAAAACAAAAAGAAAAACCAGACTGGAGATAGGATAAGAGCTGAGCATCTGAGAAGAAGCAAACTGGCATGTAACGGCGACAGGTCCTTAAATCTCACGCTGCTGTCATGGAAGACATTTCTTAAAGTGAGCAGGTTTGGCTAGTCACCGTCACCATCACCATGGGCTGTAGCTCTCATGCCTCCCTGCTGCACAATTGTTAACGCTATCATCTGGAAGGACAGAAGGTTGACAACTACATACAAAGATAAAACGTTGATATCTGCAACAAACCCACAGACAGCTGGAAACTCTGCACCTCTGTAACAATAGTCAGGACTACCACACTCCACCAGATAAATGACCTCATGGACTGTCCAGTAGGACACGTGAGAGAACTCACAAGGCCAGCTTCATGGACTGTCCAGTAGGACAGGTGAGAGAACTCACAAGGCCAGCTTCATGGACTGTCCAGTAGGACACCTGAGAGAACTCACAAGGCCAGCTTCATGGACTGTCCAGTAGGACAGGTGAGAGAACTCACAAGGCCAGCTTCATGGACTGTCCAGTAGGACACCTGAGAGAACCCACAAGGCCAGCTTCATGGACTGTCCAGTAGGACAGGTGAGAGAACTCACAAGGCCAGCTTCATGGACTGTCCAGTAGGACAGGTGAGAGAACTCACAAGGCCAGCTTCATGGACTGTCCAGTAGGACAGGTGAGAGAACTCACAAGGCCAGCTTCATGGACTGTCCAGTAGGACACCTGAGAGAACTCACAAGGCCAGCTTCATGGACTGTCCAGTAGGACACGTGAGAGAACTCACAAGGCCAGCTTCATGGACTGTCCAGTAGGACACGTGAGAGAACTCACAAGGCCAGCTTCATGGACTGTCCAGTAGGACACGTGAGAGAACTCACAAGGCCAGCTTCATGGACTGTCCAGTAGGACAGGTGAGAGAACTCACAAGGCCAGCTTCATGGACTGTCCAGTAGGACAGGTGAGAGAACTCACAAGGCCAGCTTCATGGACTGTCCAGTAGGACACCTGAGAGAACTCACAAGGCCAGCTTCATGGACTGTCCAGTAGGACAGGTGAGAGAACTCACAAGGCCAGCTTCATGGACTGTCCAGTAGGACAGGTGAGAGAACTCACAAGGCCAGCTTCATGGACTGTCCAGTAGGACACCTGAGAGAACTCACAAGGCCAGCTTCATGGACTGTCCAGTAGGACAGGTGAGAGAACTCACAAGGCCAGCTTCATGGACTGTCCAGTAGGACAGGTGAGAGAACTCACAAGGCCAGCTTCATGGACTGTCCAGTAGGACACCTGAGAGAACTCACAAGGCCAGCTTCATGGACTGTCCAGTAGGACACGTGAGAGAACTCACAAGGCCAGCTTCATGGACTGTTCAGTAGGACACCTGAGAGAACTCACAAGGCCAGCTTCATGGACTGTCCAGTAGGACACGTGAGAGAACTCACAAGGCCAGCTTCATGGACTGTCCAGTAGGACACGTGAGAGAACTCACAAGGTCAACTTGATGGACAGTACTGATGTCCTCTTCAACCAAGATGACCTA